GCGGGTCTTGCGAAAAAGAAGGACACCTGAGTACCCAGAGAAAAACTACCCAGTCGACCCTACTTCTTGTCAGGCAAAACCCCTAGGGTCTTGCATGAATGGATATCAGTCCGTATGATCGTACTATACGTCCTCATTAACGTAGTATGGTGTTTTGTAAATGGGACAACGGTGGCTCAGTGAGTAATCTGGAGGTGACATGTTCAATACCTCGGCGTTGGCCGAGAAATTTCATCGGGATTTTCCGGCGTGGTTCCCATTTGTCAGTGGTGCCGGAAGATAGACCAGCAAGGGACATATTCCTCACAGTGTTTCGTTTGATTAGAGCTAATCCCACATAACACTGCTGTAATGGAAGCAAATTTCTGGTAAATAGTCGGAATATGGGCATAGGGCAACATATAGTCCTTCGGATGTTCCGTGTAGACGTTGTCGTGTACGTAAAGGAACCCTTGGTAGTTGGAATTGGAAATAAGAGTACGCCGTAGCGCCGCTGTCCAGGCAAAATGTCCTCCTGTTTGGCGTACGTTTTCATTAGGAAGTTAAGCCCCATTTCATTTCGTTTCATTTAGTAAATAACTATCCTATAATTAAAGCCGTATCAACAGCTGGCGTGGTTTGTTGCTTAGGTTTAATTCTTGGGTTGAGATCGATTAATCAATGTGGCGGCGAATAATTGTCGTATTAATTACAGATTTAACAGGATATACAGTACTTAAATAATTAATATCAATTTATACAAGAAACATATGGCCACTCAGTTTCATGATATGCGACCAGATGATCGAGGCTTTTTTAGAACGCTTCAACATCCAGTCTTCCCGTGTTTATTGAAATTACAAGAAATCGTAATCGTTCAAAAATTGATATCTAATATTAAAAGAGAAGCTTTCACACAGTGAACAAGAATGTATAACCAGTGTTAGCGTAGTGTTAGAAATGATAAAAAGATCGGAAAACGGCTATCGACAGTAAGTATACATGAAATGAGAGAGAGAGAGAGAGAGAGAGAGAGAGAGGGGTTTAACGTTCACTCGACACAAACTAGGTAATTTCGGGACTAACATAGGGTTCAATTGTATTTCAATAATTCGCATGCGCGTAGGGGTCTTTAGCAGTGGGAGGAAACCGGGGAATCGAAACCACGCCATTTGGCTCAATGACAGAACTTGTGATACAACGCCCACGCACTACCCAGTCGGCCATGAAATGAAATGGAAGGGGTTTAACGCCCTACTGGGCTAATGAAGACGGGAATACGCCATGCGGTGTGCTATGAGGGAACATTTTTTTATGAAAGCAGCAATAAGGGCTACTCCTATATCGAATTCAAAGTGTCATGGGTTCTTTTATGCGCATGGCAATGTATACACAGAACCTCGTTTTTTCGTCCCATCCGAACGACTATAGGTTTTCACTTGCTAGGCCCCCTGTGCTGCACCACTGACAAAGGGGAACGACGCCGGAAAATCTAGATAAACTTTATTGGTCAACATAGCGATCAAACATAGCTACAATATTGTACCCGTGTCCTGCCTTATTCGCGGCTACAATTGATACACTATTCCTCGTCTTCATTAGCCCAGCTCGGAGCAAAACAGTAGGACGTTAAACCCCATTTCATTTCTGATACACTATTCGTGGCTTTGCGCAAGTACAATTAAGTTCAATTGCAAATTTTCAACACATATCACCACAGTTCGCATGGAAATAGGTAGCTATGTTACAAATGGTGAAGAGTGGAACACTGAACTCTTAATCTTATCTCACCGAACTGTTTTTCTGTATTTTCGGGTGACGTAAAATCACGTCATTCCGCTTCGGCGACCATTTTAAAATGAACAGAATTTTCGCATAGCAGTTGGGTTTAATCAAATCATATAATTATGCGGTAAGTTTTCACCTTTATTTCAATGGGAATTGATTTATTGTATGTTAAGCGATGTGCAGTACAGTTTGGGGTCAGTGTAATTGGAAATTAAGTTATAGGCCAGTAACTTTTTTGTAGTCAAATGACTACAAAACTAGCCCAAAAGAGCTCTCAACACCGTTTTGTTTTGATATCCCTTCTGAATGAATGATGCGGTGAGTATATTTAATTAGGCGATTCGATTGCAGGTTATAACATAGAGAGAGATGGGGTTTAACGTCCACTCGACACAAACTAGGTCATTTCGGGACTAACACATGGTTCAATTTAATTTCAATAATTCGCTTGCGCGTAGGGGTCTTTAGCAGTGGGAGGAAACCGGAGGACCCGGAGAAAACCCACGAGGTTGGACAGGCGACCCTACTCCTTGTCACGTACAACCGGGAATTCGAAACCACGCCTGTCGACTCAATGACAGGCTTTATGATACAGCACGTACGTGCTAACCATTCGGCCACCCCCCTCTTTATTCAGTGTTCTTAAAACCTTATTTCTTAATTCATAGTCCATAATTCTTATTTCTTAATTTGTTGTCGTATTTCGACATTTGTACACTAAAATTAACATTTTTGTATCTTAAAATCAATATTTGTTTTACAAATCAGACATTTGTCATATCAGATTTGTAAAATGTATTTTACTTGTGTTTTAATGTAAAGATAAAATTTATTTTAGAAAATCAAAAATTAGCCTACATTTACATTTCAGCAGAGAAATACAACAAAAAACAAATATGGAAAAACAAATTTCTAAATACAAATTTCCAAATACAAATTTTACAAAACATTCCTCCAAAAACATTTCTTCAATAACATTTCTCGAAATCCATCGAATCGTGCATACAATAAGTCACCATACAATAATGGGGAATCGAGCAAGCAAATGAAATGAAATGAAATGAAATGGGGTTTAACGTCCTACTGTTCTGCTCCTATACCGGGCTAATGAAGACGGGCATACGCCATACAGTGTGTTATGAGGGAAATTTTGCCCGGGCAGCGGCACTATCACCTACTCTTATATCGAATTCCAACTGCCAGGGATCTTTTACGTGCATTCCAATATATACACGGGACCTCGGTTTGTCGTCTTATCCGAAGGACTAGACAGCTATCCTTGTCAGGCCCTCCGTTCTGCACCATTGACAAGGGGAAACCACGTCGGAAAGAATCGAGCAAGCATATACACAATAAGAAAAATCGCTCGATGACCGCATCTCTAGTGAAACCACGTGCGTACTATGGCTAATCTGGTCGGGCCTTCGAAAATGAAAATAAATGGAAAGTAGTCTATTTCTTTTCTCAAACAAAAGAGTGTTTAATCTCTTCTAAATCACGTTATCATGAATGTTCCAGGGAAAAAGTAATATACTGATCGAAAGAGGGATAAATAAATACTTTCCGCTCATGCATTACACGATAACCCGTATTTTAACTTTTAAATACACCCCCACCACCCGGCCTCACTAACTTAATAGTATTTATCGTCATTCAACTGTAATACCCTTTTTCAAGCTATGCAAATTTAAATGTGCCAGAATATAATTTACATTTCTGAATAGGTAAATGAAACTTGTTTTCAGTGGTATTCTGTGTGATATCTGGAATGTCGTAGTATGATCGGTATTTTGACATTTAAGACCCCACCCATCCCCTCCCAATCAAGTAATAGAGTTTAATAGCGTACACATTTTTAAGTTATTTTCTGGCACATTTATATTTATATACTTTGAAAGGAGATCAAAGTTCCAAGGTACTAAACTTTATTAGGGGCGGGATATTTAAAGTAAAAAAAACCCATCTTAATAAGAAATTCTCGATATCTGTTCATATACAGCTGAAAGTATGTGTATTGTTTGCTATAAAATGTAAGTTATTTTCTTGCATATTTATAATTACATACCTTGGAAAAAGAACAAAATTGAAATGTCTCTAACATGTATTAAATGAGGAGGGGTGAGGTATTTAACGTCAAAATACGGGCCATAACATAAAATACAAGATATCGGGATACATACCATTGGCAAGGTCCGAATACATTTGGAAAATTGTAAAATATTTTCTGACATATTCATATTTAGGTACCTTGTTAAAGTAGATAAAATTTGGATCGTCTGAACCCTATTTAGTGAGGGGGGGGGGGGGTATTTAAAAGTCAAAATACGCGTCTTAATACGAAATTCAAATTATCGTAAAATGTTTCACTGGAAAGTATTTTATCATTCTCTCTTTCTGCCTTTACTATGTTTTCCGCGCGTTATTCATTCGTGTTCTGGCGACATTTTGTAGCAGTAACATTTATCAGTGACCAGATGTAAATAGAGTATTAATATGATATTTGGATGAACCTATTTGTGGGAAATGAAATAAAATGGGGTTTAACGTCCTACTGTTGTGCTTCGACTGGGATAATGAAGACGGGCGTGCGCCTACAGTGTTCTATGAGGGAAATTTTGCCCGGGCAGCGACACTAAGTCCTACTCTTATATCGAATTCCAACTGCCAAGGGGTCTTTTACGTGCACGCTAATGTATACACGAGACCTCGGTTTTTCGTCCCATCCGAACGACTAAACAGCTGTCCTTGTCAGACCCTATGTCCTTCACCACTGACAAGGGCAAACCACGTCGGAAAATCCAGATGAACCTTCTCGGCCAATGCAGATATCGAACACCAGACCTCCAGACTAGTGAGCCAGTATCTTACCCACTTAGCCATATGAATTAATATAATTTAATCTCACACACAAAAGTTATTTTTAAAAAAATATTGCGGAATATTAAAATAATCACACATATAACCTATTGTTGTATCTACTGAAAAAAATATATGTGTTTACCTTTTTTTAAAACGAACATGTTTGTGGTAATATTAACCGTAGTTTCGTATTATTAACACGTCACGTAACCCGGCAACAAGATTTAAATCCGTCTTAACCTAAATATATCACACGTCTACAACACATGTTGTTACTTTTTTAAAATTGATATTTTTGATGTTTGTATGTAAAGATGATATTTACCTTTTTATTGTATTTTAATATTTTGGTGTATATAGACTATTTTAGATATTTTGACTTATATACATTGTTTTGGGGAGGTGAAAAGATATGCGTATATTTTGGTCTATATACACTGTTTAGGAAATTCTAAACGATATAAGAATATTTTGGTCTATAAACACTGTTTTAGGAAAGGTTAAACAATAAAAGTATACTTAGTTTTCTATACATGTAATGAATTGTGAATTCTAATAATGATAACTGGATAAGATCAATTTGTCCGGTAAGTATATTTTATCTTAAAATACAGATATGACGTCATCGTTTGATGTTGGATTACTATTGCTGGATGTGCCAAACATACATTATATTCATACTTGATGAAAATATTGGACCAGCGTATTGAAATGCACGTGTGTGATTGTGTCTGAATTTTAAATTTTTTTTAATGGTCTCTGGCATTGTATAATATATTGATACAACTCTCGAGCAAACGCCCTGGTACAGTACCTCTCTATATAACATAATGTCGCTCTCTGGACCGTTGTTGTTGTTGTTTATTAATGATTTAACGTCCAATACAATGAATATGATATTATGGACGGATTGATTTAATTAAATTATTTACACTTGAAAATTGTTAAAAACACAAAATAAAAAGGTCCTCGGATACCAAATGTTTCTTAAAGCACACTTATAAATTCGCTGTCGTGAGAAGAGAGGGTGGGTCATCTTCTCCCTTTGTCATAATAAAGTTAAGACAAAGGGAGAAGATGACCCGCCCTCTCTTCTCACGACAGATCTCTGGGCCGGCAACCACACCTTTTATGTAATTGTTTAATGTATAGTGATAATGTGCATATAATCGTGTTTTTGTTGTTAATAAGTTATTGTTGTTGTTGGGTTATTGCAGTTGTTTAGTTATTGTGGTTTAATGAGTTGTTGTTGTTGATAAATTATCGTTGTTGATAGGTTATTGTTGATGATAAGTTAGTTTTGTTGATTGGTTCATGTTGATGATGGTTTGTTTGTTGTCAGGTTATTGCGGTTGATGAGTTATAGTTGATGATGGATTAATGTTGATGATGGATTGTTGTTGATGATGAGTTATTGTTGATGATAAGTTATTTTTGTTGTTTATTTTTACAGATTGCTATCAGAGGAATGGGGTGCACTTGCAAGAGTTCATTTATTGTGATATTTCTGGTAGCAGCGACGAGTTTAGCCTTCCTCTACCAGACAAGTTTTATCAAAGACATCGGTGGTAAGAATTTAAAAATCACCGAAAATTTTTAAGTATACGTTTTAGAAGTGGTGTGGATGGAGTCTTGGTTCTTTATCCTATAGTATTGAAACGAAACAGACCGACACACAATCTATTTAAATTATATCTTTATTTCATTCCCAATTTATCGTTTTGGTTTTGTATACCTCTGCAAAAGATCTAATAATTTTTTTATAACGGCTGACATTGTCCACGATTGACGTCGGTTGGGGTATGTATGATACATACGTGGGTTTTTAAATAGAGTAGGGAGTTAAACCCCATTTTATTTCATTTATAAATAGGGAGAGTGAGAGAAATGGGGTTTAACGTCCACTCGACACAAACTAGGTCATTTTTCAACTAACATATGGTTCAATTTGATTTCAATAATTCGCGTGCGATTAGGGGTCTTTAGCAGTGGGAGGAAACCGGAGGACCCGGATAAATCCTACGAGGTTGGACATGCGACCCTGCTCCTTGTCACGTACAGCCGGGGAATAGAAACCTCGCCAGTTGACTCAGTGACATACCTTATGTGTCTCGCAGCCTAAACAAACTGGATGCCTAAAATTACGGAATTTACTTAATGTCCAGTTATTTCAAATGTATTCTGGCGATTAGATATTAAGCTAAAGATAGCACATTTATATATGAGGCCATCTTCGTTACCCCAGTTGGAGCAGAACAGTAAGACGTTAAACCCAGTTACAAGTCAATGACTGGTATATAAACTGCACAGATATGTTACAAGACAATAACTGGTGTATAAACTGTATAGACATGTTACAAGTCAATGACTGGTGTATAAACTATATAGACATGTTACAAGTCAATGACTGGTGTATAAACTGTACAGACATGTTACAAGTCAATGACTGGTGTATAAACTGTATAGACATGTTACAAGCCAATGACTGGTGTATAAACTATACAGACATGTTACAAGTCAATGACTGGTGTATAAACTATACAGATATGTTACAAGTCAATCACTGGTGTATAAACTATACACACGTTACAAGTCAATCACTGGTGTATAAACCGGTATATAAACGGTGTATATTGACGATTGCATTACTAGTACATTCGCATTCTAACATGTTTTTTCTCTTGTGGGGGTTTTATTTCAGAACGAACCGGTTATTTAGCCCTCAAAGAACCTTTGATTCAGCCGATCAGGAATGGAACAGATAATTTAATAGGATTAGCTTCCACAATCGGTAAGTCAGTAAGATACCTGGTATGTTATTAAGATTATTACGTCTAGTAAGTCAGTAAGATATTACGTCTGGTAAATCAGTTCGATATCACGTCTGGTAAGTCAGTTAGATATTACGTCTGGTAAATCAGTTAGTTATCACGCGTGGTAAATCAGTTAGATATAACGTCTGGTAAGTCAGTAATAAACATGACTAAGGCCATGCGCAGTGTACGTACCATTCTATTGCACATAAAAGATCCCGGGTATTTTTATTTTTAAACATCTTATAACGAAAATGAAATGAAATAGGGTTTAACGTCCTACTGTTTTGCTCCGAACTGGGCTAAGGAAGATGAGCATACGCCATACAGTGTGCTATGACGGAAAGTTTGCCCGGACAGCGCCACTACGGCCTACTCTTATATCGAATTCCAACTGTCAAGGAATCTTTTACGTGCACGCCAAAGTGTGCACTGGACCTCGGTTTTTCGTCTCATCCGAATGACTAGACAGCTTTCCTTGTCAGGCCCTCCGTCCAGCATCACTGACAAGGGGGGACAACGCCAGAAAATCTGGGTGAACTTCCTCGGCCAATGCAGGGATCGAACACCCGACCTCCAGGCTAGCGAGCCAGCGTCTTACCCACTTAGCCACCGTGACGCCCCCACCTTATAACACTTCTTAATATTATTAAAGATACATTATGGGAGATTAGATAAAGAGCTGGCAATCATCACTATTAAAGTTAAAAAACTGGATAATGTTAAGGCAATTTGCTGAAAATTTCAGTCAAATTGATCCACTATGAACCGAGATTTTAGCGATTGAATTTTCGGCCTTGCCTCGATCATCATTACTAAAGTCGGTAGGATAAAAAAAAAAACAACATAGTCTCGATTATCCATTTTTTTAATTTAATTATGAATGGAAGTCGAACAGCAAATCGGATAATCCAATAAACATCGCAGGCTAGCGATGACATCGAGAGTTGATTATGGTCTGGATAAGTTAATTAATGAGATAACATCCCGGGTCTAAAGAAAGACCTGCAATAGGCAGATTTAGCTCTTGCATAATGCATGTTTAACTGTTTGAATACATATATATGAAATATTTTACTTTATAGAGAATGTTAAAACAGTCATTGCGCGGTATGAACAGACCAACAGAGGACCGGAAGTAAATGTACTTCTGTTGACGTACATGCGTAGTGGGTCTACATTTACAGCGGATCTACTGCAGCAAAGTCGTGAGGTGTTCTACGTGTTTGAACCGCTGACTACATTGTCAAGATACAACGTCATACCACCATTTGTGTACATACCCATGGTAACATTTGATCAAGCTCCAATGTAAGTTGAAATTGGGTAGCACTGGGAATGGATCCTTTGGCTCCATCCAACTTGCAGGAAAATACTCATGGATCTCCTTCTAGTCTTGGTTGTTGAGAGGTGCCTCACAAAACATCTCGCCAACAGGGGCTTGTGACCCATGATTTTGCATGAAGAACAAGATCCCGCCCGGGCCTCTAAAAAACAATATCTATATGTGTGTGCGGGGAGGAGGATCCCTCCAAATGCCGGGCTGTGTTGAACATGTTAGAATCGATTTGTAGCATATCTGACCTACGGTATATGTTTGACACTGGTTAAGCATTATGATTATAATGTTGAAAACCGCATTGAAACCGTGTGCGAGGTGCACAAAAACATGGCACAAAGATTGTCATTGGGTCCCTCTCAATAAGCCACTGCTCGCCACACTAATCAGCAGTGAATATTCGCTAGACCTCTACAATCACTGATATAGTCTGGAGGTTCAGCGCGGGGGTAGGGGTGTCCATCAAATGGGCACAAAACCAGACCCAACTTTTCTGGAGTAAAATTTGCGTAGAATACGATGCCGAGTGGTAATCAGTCCGCCGTTGGGGCGTTTATGAGATATTCGGGGTCAAAGGTCAAATGGGTTCATTTGCACTAAAAGTGAATGGCTGTCTTTCTTGTATCATGAATATATAAGCTGAAAATGATTGAAAGTAATCACACTTTCAATAAAAATGTAAACTTGCTAATTTCACCTTTGTTCAAAAGGTCATATTTTCCGTTTTAGCACTAGGAAGATTTAAAGTAATAAATGCCAGTGTAAAATATAAAAACTAAAGCGAAACTTGTTCTACTTAATAATAGGATCATTTAAAATTTATGAATTAGTTTTACAACGAATGCTATACATAATGATACTAGTCTGAAAAAAATAATTGAAAAGTTTCATTGCTGGACTCCAGCCTGCAGGCCGCGTCACAAAGCCTGCCAAAATTTCCCCGATAACATTTATCAATACGACATATACATCCTGTGAACTATTATGCACAATGCATCCGTCGGTTTTATCTGCGTCCATGTTCGGGCTAAATTCATAAAAATTCATAAAATATTTGCAAACTTTTAATCTCGTCGTCAGATACGTGTTTTGCCGTCACAGATTAACGTCGGTTTTCCTAGACTGGGATTCTCGGAAATCCACGCGACCTGCAGACTGGAGTCCAACACTGAAACTATTCAATTGTTTTTCAGATAACTAGTATCTTTATGTATAATAATCGCTGTGAAAATAAATCGGAGAGATTTCGATTTGACAGTTTTTTACGTATTTTTGAAACAGGTTTCAAAGTGTGTTGGCTCTGTTATGCAAGATCATTTTCGACGTTCCAAAGTAAAAGTTCGGTGCTAAGACCCCCTAAAGATAAATTTTAAATGTTCCTATTATTAATTAGAACAGGTTTCGCTTTAGTTTTTATATTTTACGTTGACATTTTATTGCTTTAAATCATCCTAGTGCAAAAACGGTAAATTTCACCTTTTGACCTCCAGGGTCACTAAGACTAAAGGTCAATTTAGCACGTTTACATTTTTATTGAAAGTGTGATTACTTTCGATCATTTTCAGCTTCTTTTCATAATACAAGAATGACTGCGCATTCACTTTCAGTGCAAATGAACTCGTTTGACCTTTGACCCCGAATATCGCGAAAACGCCCCAACGGCGGACTGATTACCACTCGGCATCGTATTCTACGCAAAATTCTACTCAAGAAAAGTTGGGTCTGGTTTTGTGCTCCTTTAGTGCCCCCCCCCCCGCGCTGAGCCTCCGGTCTAATAAGGATAACATCGATGCGACTTAATGAGCCCCAAATATTAAAAAGCTACATTTTTAGTTTAAGATTTCATGAATAAAGTCCATTTTCGCGCATTAATTATCGTCATGCTGATATTTAAAGCATTTCTAGTCGGACATGGGGCAGGGGGAACAAAAATGAATGTGATCTAGACTCCCGGAATTTAAATATTACCTGACCCCAAATAGGTGGAGGGCAATTGTGAAAATACTTAACTGGATTCTTCTTAAATATACAGATTAATACCAATGATGTTTGGTGTATTTTACTTTTCAGATATTATCTACAACAAATGGTTAATTTCAAGATGTTATCAAAACGACTTCTGAACGCCTTCCTCACTTGTAAATTTTCTCAAGCTGACATGGCAACTCTCATACAATTTCATCTCAGGAATAGTCTAACAACGATACCCTTCTATAATTGCACAAGACAATACAAAGGTATATTCGGAGTATTTCGGTGTTTACCTCATCTGTATGAAAGGTGTCTAAGATCCCGGATAACTATCACTAAGACGATTCGTACCCGGATGCAAACGGGCGTGGAGATGCTACAATCAAATCCAAATTTAAAAATCATACATTTAATACGAGATCCAAGAGGAACATTGATGTCTGAATTCCGCTTTGGAAAGTTTCCAAAACAGGAACTGTTATCCTATGCTACGACATTTTGTAAAAACGTGACAGAAGATTTGGAGATTGCGCAGACTTATCCAGACCGTGTTAAAATAATTCGCTATGAGGATTTGTGTGACAATCCGTTTCTTTTATCGAAAAAATTATATGATTATATTGGAATGGAATTCACCTCAGAGATCAAGGAATATATTCACAGTATAACTTCCGCCGGAAAGGAAGTAAATTGTCCTCTTTGTACGTCTCGTGCTGATTCTAAGATGGCGTCCAAAAAATGGAGGAAACAGATAACAATTAAAGACGCGCTCACAATTGATAATGTATGTTCTAATGTGTTTGACAAACTGGGGTATAAGCCAGTTAATAGTTTAAATGAACTGCGAAATTTGAATGTAAGTTTTGTAGCCAAACCAAAGATCAATGTTTTGGGTTAAAGGTGATTTTAATATTATACGAAATCAAGATTCAATTCTGTGGTTTAAATTCTTCCATGCAGTTATAAATGAATGAGGAAATGGGGTTTAGCGTCCTAGAAACAGTATGAATGAATGAAATGGGGTTTAACGTCCAAGAAACAGTATGAATGATTGGATGGGATCGGGTTTAACGTCCTAGAGACAGTATGAATGAATGATTGAAATTGGATTTAGCGTCCTTGGGATAGTTATGGTCAAACACCCGAAATTGGGGTTAACGTCCTAGAGACAGCTATGATGAATGGGTGAAATTGGGTTTAACGTCCTATAGCAACAGTATGAATGAATGAATGAAATTGGGTTTAACGTCCTAGCAACAGTATGAATGAATGAATGAAATTGGGTTTAACGTCCTAGCAACAGTATGAATGAATGAATGAAATCGGGTTTAACGTCCTAGAAACAGTATGAATGAATGAAATTGGGTTTAACGTCCTCGAGACAGCTATGATGCACGAATGAATGATGTGGGGATTAACGTCCTAGAGACAACTATGATGAATGAGTGAAATTGGGATTAACGTCCCAGAGACAGTATGAATGAATGAAATTGGATTTTACGTCCAAGAGACAGTTATGAATGAATGAAACTTGGTTTTACGTCCTAGAATCAGCTATGATGAATGAATGAAACTGGGTTTTACGTCCTAGAATCAGCTATGATGAATGAATGAGATGGGGTTTAACGTCTTTAATTTTATTTCAATAATTCGCTTGCGCGTAGGGGTCTTTAGCAGTGGGAGGAAACCCACGAGGTTGGACAGGCGACCCTACTCCTTGTCACGTACAACCGGGGATTCGAAACCTCGCCAGTTGACTCAATGACCGGCTTTATGATACAGCGCGCACGTGCTAACCATTCGGCCATTCCCCCCCCCCCCCCCCCTGCTAGAGACAGATATGGTCATATATATCATGTAACATATTAACGACAAACAGTCCTGAACATACCATCTGCTTCTAAATCAATAATGAATTCAAATGAAAGAGGATTTAACTTCTTACTGTCCTTCACCACTGATAGGGGGAAACCACGCCGGAAAATCACGATGAACTTTCTCGGCCAATGTAGGGATCTAAAACGCGACCTCCAAGCTAGCGAGCCAGCGTCTTACCCATTTAGCACAAACCCACCCCACCCGCCCAATAAAACAAATGAATAATGTGTATAAATCACAAGGAGGGATTAAATGATGCGAATTTACGGAATTCGAGTGACGCGGAATTCAGTCCTGTCACAGTTCTGTCAGTCTGTACAACGGACGGAGGTGGTGTGAGTAGAATCGTGGCGTAATTAAACGCAACAAATTTGTTTCAGCTCACATGTTTGGTTGAGATGTTTCTGATGCAGTCGGCGCATGCGTTCTAGCCCTAAATCCCTATCTTCACTCGATTGTCACTATTTTTGTGTTCAACAGAATTCAATCCCTGACCGTTCAATCGAGCATCCCCAATATAAATATCTGGCATAATGTTCATTTGTTAAATTGTGTGTGCGTATGGATTTTTGCAGCGGGAATGAAACCGGTTAGTAACCATTAGACCGAGGGACCAACCATGGATGAATAACAGTATAAGAAAAATGAGTAAACTCCACAAAAAAGCAGTAAAGGAAAACTCAGACATAGCCTGGCAGAATTTCAGAACTATTAGAAACAACTATATTGACTTTATAAGAAAATGCAAACGCGAATATTTTACAAAACTTGACGATAAGATTAACGATAAGGACAATTTTGGTAACAAAAAACTGGTGGCAACTTTTTAATTCATTTATGAAAAAGACACAACAGACATGTAATGAATTACCTCCCTTTACACATGGCGACAAAACATTCTTTTCCCTAACTGATAAAGCTGACTGTTTAAACAACCATTTCATAACTCAATCATCACTTGACAGCACAAATGCATTTCTTCCCACATTAAGACGCAACGACAACTCATTGTGTACAATTGAACTAATTCCCAAGGAAGTTAAGGACATGCTCCTAACAATTGATTCAACAAAATCTAACGGCCCAGAAGAAATAAGCGGAAAATAATTAAAACCAATATCTGAAGAAATATCTTAGCCTTTATGTAATATATTTAATCTATCCCTAAAAAGTAAAATGGCGCCTCCTCCGCCCCAGAAAAGTTCCATCCGGTGTTCCGGAGGGCTCTGTTCTCGGTCCCCTTTTATTTCTAATCTACATAAACGATATCATAGAAAATATAAATTTCAACATCCGTCTATTTGCAGACGACACTATAGGCAAACATAACATAACTTATTACATTTGATATAGCGCACATTACTGCCATTCAAACTGCAAATGGCAGTAATTATTAACAAAACAAGCAAACTAATTAACTCTTTAAGGTCACTCAAATATAGACTTAATAGAAAATCCCTGCACACTTCCTTTATTTTACCCCATTTCGATTACTGTGATGTTATCTTTATCGAAAATCCCTGCACACTTCCTTTATTTTACCCCATTTCGATTACTGTGATGTTATCTGGGATGAGCGCACTGATGATCATACTAATAAACTAGAAAACTTACAATTAGATGCACTTAGAACTATATGCGGGGCTGTAAGGTATACCAGCCATAAACTCTTATATAACGAAACCGGGTTTATTACGCTACAAGAGAGACGCAAACGACACAAACTGACACTTATTTATACAATCATCAATAACCTGACACCCGCTTACCTAAAGAACTTAATATTACACCGACCCAATAATTATCATCTTCGTAACAATGACAATCTTTCAGAATACCGATGTAAAACAAAAAAAATGTTCGAACTCTTTCGGATCCTCCTCAACAAAAGAATAGAACAAACTTGATATCGATATAAGAATTTCTCCGTCTCTCACTACTTTCAAACAAAATCTAAAACTAAACGATCCTATTATTCCAAATTCATTTCTACAGGGCAAAATAAAGAATCAGATCATACACAGTAGGCTGCGGCTTTGTTGTAGCGATCACACCAGCAATCAATTAAACCACTTCTTTTTGGCATAGAAAATCAGACTACATCTAAAAACATCTTTAAAATAGTGCATGAATACTTCGATGTTACCAGACGCTTCAATATCTGTTTCTATTTATAGAACCCTTTTTATCATGTTATAAAACAGCACTTCCTCTTTTTTTTCATTTGTTTAAAATAATGTGTTTATAAATTATTTAATTTATATGATTTTCGCCATTATCTTATAATATGTACAAAAACCTAACTGTCGGGTTTACACTACTTGCTCCTTGTCACCAACAATTTCCAGGGACGGTTGCATCGATTATATGCCATATAATCTACATCATATGAAGTAGACCCCTTGTCACACTGTAACCTCAAAGCACAAACGATAGACTAGATTGGTGATCTAGAACCTTGTAGATGACCGGTTGTTAAACTCGTATATTATTCCTTTCGTTTGATGATGTAGTGGTTCAACGATAGCGCGTGAAATCACAGGGTCTATCATTGAGGCAAATGGCGCAGTTTGTGTCGAATGGGCGTAAAACCCAATTCCCCCCCCCCCCAACCCCTCTCATTGATGGGGGAGTTGGATGACTGAATGGTTAGCCTGCGCGCGCTGTATCATAAAGTCTGTCATTGAGTGGACTGGCGTGGTTTCGAATCCCCGGTTGTACGTGGCAAGGCGTAGGGTCGCCTGTCCAACCTCGTGGGTTTTCTCCGGGTCCTCCGGTTTCCTCCCACTGCTAAAGACCCCTATGCGCAAGCGAATTATTGAAATAAAATTAAACCATATGTTAGTCCCGAAATGACCTAGTTTGTGTCGAGTGGACGTTAAACCACATTTCTCTCTCTCGCTCTCTCACTTAATGAAAAGTTTATTCCATCTGGTTTTTTTTTAATATTTAAAATGCCCTTCTTTCTCACATCATTGGGAGCATAAAACCAAGGAGTTGGCCTCGGGCATGACCAAATCTCAATCTATTTGTTAAGGCCAGATCAAGGTCGCTGAGATGTAAATAAGGTCAGGGCACGTTACATCTGTTTACATCTCGTGACATTTGGCCAAACTTGAAGTTGGCCTTATCAAATAGACCTAACACATGAACAAAACCCTTCACGTCACTGAATGGTATTTTGTCACATGTATAAATCGATGTTTAACAAATCACCGTTGATACGTCAGCGTTTAATGCTACTGTCATAGATTCACAATGACAATTATATGGCGGTGAGACTAGCTTCCGGTAAACACGCTTTGTGTTTCTCTTCAGTATGGAATGGTTCTATAATCTCCCCTATTCTCGTCGGTGTCAATATCCAGTGATATTTCCGGATTGTATATGTGATAATTGACGTGTGATCGATAAATAAATATCTCTAATCGATATCTGTGTTTTACATACGAGTGTGTCAATGTTAAAATGAAATGAAATGGAGTTTAACGTCCTACTGTTCTGCTCCTAACTTGGGCTAATGAAGACGTGGTCAATGTTAAAAAAGATAAGCATTTTGTCGAACTGTTAAACTCGTCGAAGCTCAAGCGAAGTGTTACGCGAACTAATAAAAAAACCACATATGTAATGTCTAATATTTTATTAATATATCGCGACATGAAACAGATATATGAACAGTGAAAAAACTAACACCGCCCCCCCACATTCACACACACACTTATATATCCATATGCTAAGAAGAAATTTACGGGCATGTTGCACTTATAATAATAGATATAGAAATCTAAATCTTTAATAAGATACTGTACATCATTGTTATAAATATACATTCTACTTTCAATGTATTGTTATACATATACATTCTACTTTCAATTTATTGTTTCAATTTATTATTATGCATACACATTCTACTTTCAATTTATTATTATGCATACACTTTCAATTTCGTTTTCATCTTGGAATGTGGAAACGTGGTACTTGTGATAATAATAACAATATATGTAGAAATCTACTATTAAGAGACATAATTGCTGTAGCCTACACACATCTTATAT